GCAGCCTGCACACACACATTATACAGTTGTCCTATCAATATCAACATCAATGGAAAATCTTTATTTTTAGATAGGGCTATTATAGGATCAGTAAGAACAGAAATATCTGTAATAGTTTGCGTTCTGTCCCAATTCCCATCAGAGGCCTTCTGCTGTTGTGTGTTGTGCTCCAACAGGTGGCTGCTATTTCTGTCAGTCCTGATTACGACCACAGGTCATAGTCTCCATCAAAATACTTTCCCCCTCACGCCATTTTGTTTAATTTCATTTACCATTTGTAATTTACTTTTGACCTGCCTTTTATCATCTGCCTCATTTATCATTGTCTTATCTGAATATTTCTCTTGATCTGTCCCAAAGACAAATGTCAGGGACTGACTGTTGACTTTATAAGGACGTGAAGGAAGGATCATATCCTGTTTCTCTTGACAGGCTGTCTGTGTCAGACATTCATTCACAGATGTGTCAATTCATTGGCCTGACATCAGTGGGCTACACCCTTTCTGGGGACCTCTGAACCTGTGAGAATGGATTCCCATTCCCATTTGTGTGTACATCTGCTGTTGACACACCAGCTGACATACTGGATACTGGATGGGACACACACAGACACACACATCACCCATTAATAATCTGTGCTTCTCAGCCTGTTGAATGTGAGAGTCATTGGACTGTTTCATCTATGAGCTCCACAGAGTCAGGGGTGAGTTTTATGTCCCTTTGTTATAACTGTAATATATGATGAAGTTCGTTAACAGCATTATCACTATGGTATTTTCTTTATTGTGTATTATTAACTGTTATACCTGCACTGCACACTAATCCAACAAAATGTCCTGATGGCATGACAGCAGTGACTCTCCAGCACAACGCTGCACTACCCAGTCCAGTAGTGTCCTTATGTCCTTGTGTTTAAAGTTGTGCACCCTCATGTCAGAAAACATTGTTGTGTCTGAAATCAAATTTTTTCACTCCCTCCTACTCACTGTTGAGGGAGTTCCATATAGAGGAAAGAGGACTATATAGTGAGCTAATAGGCAAAATGAAAATAACAGACACTACTCTGGTTATTTTTCTTTGTATTTCACATTACTTTGATTGGTTGTCTGCCACAACTTTCAGTTCTTTTCGGTTTATATTAAGTTTAATCTGAAGCTTTTTATTTAGATATGGAACCTTTATGTTTTCACATCATAAAGTTCTTTATCCTCTCATCTGTGGGCTGAGTGCAATGCATGATGGAATACAGAGTGCTTGGTTAGTGACCACTGAGTTTTTCATAATGCATTTTGGGATACAATGAGTCCACTATACAGGGTATAGAAATCCCCCCTTAAACATTACAAAATGGCAAACCCACTAGTGGACTGAGTAGTGACTGATTTTATCGACACAGCAGCCAAACGTTACTTTGGGTCAGTTTTCGAGAGGACTTGAAGAATAGATGGAGCAATTGTTTCCTTTGTGTATTTATATAAAAGATGATATTGTTTGTGCAGTATACTTTGTTCTTTTGGGCTTCAATACTGTCACAACTCTAGAGGCTTGTTGTTGGTACAACAAATTTATAGCAGCCCAGTGAACTACATCATTGATAAATCATTTCATCCATCCACACACTGTCTATTGCCTGTATAGTGGACAAATGGTCTGAACACAGGCATCTACAGAGTCCAGTTTCCCCATAAGACTTTACTTACCCTGCACACCGGCAAGCAGGGTATTATTTTCATCTGTGTGTGTGGGTGGGTGGGTGGGTGGGTGTGTGGGTGGGTGTAGATAGGTCAAAGGCCAAGGTCAACACAAATATCCCAAAATGTATTTTCAAAGAAATCTAAAGTTAATGTGCAACATAAAATGATTCCCCATCATATAGTCTAAGTAATGTCAAGAAAACACAATGAAGGCAGAACAAATATGTCATGCATAGTTCAAAAATGTATAATTCAAGGTATCTCTCCATCCTCCAGGACTACAGACATGACTTATAAAGCTTATATAGATTGAAAAGTATTGTGATAGTTGTACCCACAAACTCAGTGTTGAGTGATGGAGTATTCTGTACACTGACACTTTTGTATTCCTTCACTAAGTATTTGCTCTGGTTGGCTATTCAATTGACTGTTGCTCCACCTTTGTGGTTCGGCAGTATTTTAATATAGAAAATGATAATAGATTGTAGGCTATGTCACAATTAACAATGGATGCATTAGATAAGTATGGACGGTCCACTCCTAACGCACTGATGAGCTGAGTTCATGTACAGAGCTCTGTCACAATGCATCTGCAGTCATGTGATCAAAATTAGCCGACAGGAACAGACTGTGACTCTGAATCCTGCAGGACCAGAGTCACAGACCTCCAAGCCAGATAACCATTAATAAGCACAAGACAGCTGCTAATGTGCGTTAAAAGTTAGAATTAGCTTTGTTTTAATGAGGCCATGGCCTGTGTCGCCTGTTGCCCTGGCTCCAGTTACAATGACCTGCAACACACAGTGAACACAAATAACAGTTACAGTTACCAGGTAACAGTCTGCACCAATACCACTGAATTCTTGAAGTCTTGACATCAAATTCAATACCAAAGCAAAAAAACCCCAACACAGGCTACTACACACATACACACACACACAAGTACACACAAGTACATGCGCTTCAGTCAGAATACAAGCTGTTTAATGTGGGAAATGAATTAAGAAACTTAGCATTATATTGACAGACTGAACATTAGTGACAGAAGCTAACTAACACTGTGATCAACTGATCCAACTTATGTTATCATAAATCATAACAGCCATAACAAGATAATGTTAAACTCTGTTAACGTTGTGCTATTAGAAACTGAAACTCACTCTGAACAATGTGTATTTTCACTTGCTTAGATAAAATTGAGATATTTCCTCCTATCATTTGAAATACTCTCTGGCACAGTTAGCATCCTGGCTTTTGGTTGTCTAGAACTAATGATGATCATCGTTGAATGCAAAAAAATCTCCTTTGCCAGTCCTGGTGTGTTTTTGAGTTGCACCTGCATCCAGCATTCCACTTTACTGTTTGTTAGTTAAGTTCTTATTGTATTTTAGCAAGGCGCCTCATATCACTTCTGGCAATTTGGAATGATGAGTAAAAGTTAACTCAACTTAAAGCCAGCATTTCTTTATATGTTCTTTAATGTGACTGATTACATTTAGTTTGTCTTTAGTTTTGTCTTTGAGATGCTAAAAGCAAATTGGCAATCTGGCTGTAACAGAAGCTGTCCAAGGTAACTGACATTTCAAAGGAGAATGGAAACATCAGTGAGACGAGGGTTGGGCACCTGATCGACTCAGTCAGAAGCTGGAGAGTGGCAGCAGTACAAGTGGGTGATGAAGCAAAGTCGAGAAGGGTTGGAGGAGAAGTAGGGAGACAGACAAAGACATTGGCAGAGATAAAGTAAACAGATCAGTGAGATGAATCCATGTATGGATCCAGGGGAAGCAGGGGTTCTCCCGGGGGGGTGTACTGTGTCATGCCTGGCTCTGACAGTGTGTTACCCTCCTTTGCTGGCAGCCACCAGAGCTACTCAGCCTTTAACCAGGCTCTGCCCTTTGTACATGTCTACATTTCTTTTTCCTTCACCTGCCCTGAAACTCTCTCTTTCATTTCATTACGCTGTTCAGTCTTATTTCATTTTGCTCCGTTTCGTTTCAATCTTTGTTTTGAACCATTTTTTGCATTTTAATATTATGCACTTTTTTTTAACTTTTTCTGTTTGACATCAGCACTGATGATGCTTGTCTCTAATCAATGCCAGTGGGGATGTCAAGGCCTTCTTTGGGTCTTCGTTTATGATGGAAAATAAGAGCACATCTTAGATCTTACAAATAGAGTTGATCTATAAAACTGCATCCATCCATCCATCCATCATTTTCTGCCAATTAGCCACGATTGTTCTCGGCATAGCAGCAGGTCAAGTAAAATAATCTAGATGAGATCTATAATGTCCGGTGAGACCTACGTCCACCCTGCATGTGGCCTCCATAAATTGAATTCAAAGGTCTAATGGAAGGTTCCCAGGAGGCCTCCTAATTAGATCCCCAAACCACCTCATCCTCATTTTAATGTGAAGGTGAATCAACCTTTTTACTCTTTTATCGAAGCTCCTCATGTCTCCAAGGGTATGTTAAGGTCCAACCGGGCCCAGGGGTCTCCTCCTTTGTAACCTTTATTATTATCGAACGGTGAACCCCATCCCAGTGTTCCATGTTACCTTCCATAAAATGGATTCTCAGTGAGTTCCAGGTTTGGTGAAAGAAGGCAAGCACTGGTATCAGTTTGGTCTGCAGTTTTGGCAGATAGTCAGACTTGAGAATTTGGAATCAGTTTCAGGAGAGAAAAGTTGGACCGGGCATTACTGTTGGATAATCAGCTTATAGTTAAATCTGTACACTGGTGATTATATCATGTTCCAAATACAAACTTTATTGAGTTATCGACTTTCAACAGGACCATTCCAGTCAAATTCAGCTTTGCACAAAGATCCAATAGAAAGGCAATGGGTGTGTGGGTGAAAATACACACACACACACACACACACACACACACAGCCAAACACTTAGATGCTGTATATATTTTTTCACTATTGTATAGCGTCTCTTTTATAATTCCAAAACAGAACAGTTATTTTTCATGAGTGAAGTGAACCCTCTCCCAGTCTCTCCCAGTATGAAGCTCTCTGTTGTTCCTCTGGACTGGTAGCTTGTGGTGAGGAGCACTCTTTACATGTGTGGAGGCAGAAAAGCATGATGATGGAACTGACAGAGGAAGAGGAGGAGAGACTGTCTTTTGCATTATTTACAGCTTACACATGTACTCAAGAGAAGAATGCATGATACTGTTATCTTAAGAACATTTACAACTGGAAGCTTGCACAAACCTATCTGTCCTTTAAAATAAAGAGGAGAAAAACAACTGATGAGGAGCGAGGACAATAATTGGGACAATGGGACTCAAGGGCAGAAATTGGGGATTTCCAGCATCATATGTATGTCACCTGGTCCACTGATGTGTGGAGAGCTCATCTGTTTCCTGCTGAGATGGAGACTTTTCTGTTGCTGTAATTGAATGAAGAGGCCACTCCTGGTTGCTGCTTTACATTTGTTTAATTAAGTATTTATTTGTATCCCAGATTAAATGTCTCCTTCCAGTATGGGTATATGGCATATGAAACTAAATATATCAGCCTCTCCGTCTGTGCACTCATCCCTCTGCTTATCTCTAAATCACTTCCACTTCTCTTCCTGTTCATCCGTCTGCCTGAGAGGCCACCCTGCTACTTCCAATACTGATAAAACCTGTCCCTCTTCCCTTGTCTTCTACTGATAACACTGCCAGAGCAGAAGAGTAATGGAGGGGGAGAGGAGATGTTTGCAGAGGCTTGTGTCAGCTTCACTGTCATGTCATTCCAGTGTTTATGACTGAAGTGTGTATGTATAGACCAATTAGCCACGACATTAAAACAGTTAAGTGGTTTTAATGTTGTGTGTGTGTGTGCGCGCTGTGATAAACAGACAGATGGCGTACACTCCAGGGTTCAGTGGTGCAGACCTGCCAACACAGGAGATTCAGGCAAACATGGAGACATCACGTGGGAGTGTTTGTGTGTATAGACGTGTAGAAAAGAAGAAGCATTACACATTTCAGAAGGGAATAGAGATCGTAT